AAAAAAAAAATGACGTGCATCAAGGTCCTATTATGTTTAATGTATGTACCAAATTTGAATGAAATCCGTCCATGCATAACTGAGATCCGGGTCCGGAATGGTGAAAATGTGCGATTTCAATGCATTTTCGGCCTTAAAGTGGCCGCCATTTGGCTATCGTTAATGAGATCATGAAACAAATGCACATACATATTTGTGACATGATGTACCTTGTGTGTGTGAAGTTTGAACTCGATCAATCCAAGCATGTCTCAGATACGGATCTAGAACTGAATTCTTTAAAACAAAATGGCCGCCAGTCAGCCATTTCGAACCCGATCCAAAAAAAAAAATGACGTGCATCAAGGTCCTATTATGTTTAATGTATGTACCAAATTTGAACAAAATCCGTCCATGCATAACTGAGATCCGGGTCCGGAATGGTGAAAATGTGCGATTTTGATGCATTTTCGGCCTTAAAATGGCCGCTATTCGGCTATCGTTAATCGGATCATGAAAAAAATGCATGTGCATATGTCCCATATAATGTGTGATGTATGAGTGAAGTTTGAACTTAATCGGTCCATGCATGTTCGAGATACAGGTGATCACGGACGCACGGACGCACGGACGCACACAGGGCAAAACATAAGTCCCCGTTTTCGGACTGCGTCCGAACGGGGACTAATTAAAATTGGCAGTTATTGGGAACAATCACATCACTAGTAGTCTCGTAGTGGCCAAATATTAAACCTGGCTGTGAATAAATATAGAACTGTTACCTACATCTTTGCTGAAAACAGTACACTTTTTGGAGGAACGGCAAGGGTCTAGTAAGGTTTTGACTGATTTGATGCTGCAATGCTGAAAACAGTACACTTTTTGGAGGAACGGCAAGGGTCTAGTAAGGTTTTGACTGATTTGATGCTGCAATGCTGAAAACAGTACACTTTTTGGAGGAACGGCAAGGGTCTAGTAAGGTTTTGACTGATTTGATGCTGCAATGCTGAATTCTAATTTGTTAGGAGACTACAATTTATTTACCTACATTTAGTATAAGTTAATTTTTTTCTGACCTGTGGGGGCGCTGTTTCTCAGAAAATCTATTCGTACATGTAATGCTGTGAGGGGGTTTTCAGATGTATTTTTGCCCACAAATGAAGAATTAATTAAGATTTTTTAACATTTTAAAAACAAAGATAAATTTACAATACAGATAATAAAGGTTATTATGGTTTTCTTCTGCTATAGAATACAATTTAATTAAAATCTTATATACATGTTTCAGCAATTTTTGTTTATAATTTTTTACATCTTAATTTCTCTTATTATCTTTTGGATTACCAAATTATTACAAACTAAATAATATAAATGAAATTATTTAAAAAAAAAAAAATAGGAAGTTATATAAATACTTTTTTATATATTTTATATAGTGAACAGGAACATCATTTTGAACAACTATATTATCATATACAAAACTGTACATATATAGCGTTTGAGACTGGTTTGTCATATTAAACAACCAGATATTTTTTTTTTAATTTTGATCTCACCTATAAGCCTGTCTCAAGTATATAGACAGTCTCATAACCAATTGTATGTGGACAGTTGTATAAACATACTGTAAAATACTTTATTTTAGCTGGAATTAATTTTCACTGATTCACTGTTTTGTATGGAATTGATATGTAGAAAAAAGGTATAATTTTATAAAACAGCTTGATTTGATTTTCACTAAATCAAACTAGCAAAAAAAAATTCCAAGCGGTAATAAAGTATTTTAAATTAGTTTAAAAAATAGCACTGTGCAGCTATATGATTAATAACAAATAATAAGAAAGGCCATATAAGCTACATATATTTTTTAAGAGAAATTGATAACAAACCGTTATAAACTGTTTCAATTCACAACAATATGATTGAGCATACAAATCCCACCAACACTGTCATTTGCAAAAAAACATGGATTAAAGTGAAAGCATTTCAATGCAAGACTAGACAAGTACGTGGGAATTGATGCAAAAAGATAACGAAGAAATCCAAGTGGCATTCTCTCCTTGTCATCGTGATAGATTCCAAAAATAATACCAGTAGGATCTCAGTCTCATTAGGTATGTGACCAACCATGAAAGCATGACATTTGAAATGATTCTTTTTTTTTAATTCTTTGAATTTGACTCAATTGAATTATAATTTATTACAAAAATGTAATAATGAAAATCAATTTCTGAAACTTGTTTCATCCATTCATCGTATAGCCCCCGACTGAAATGGAGCAGTCCATTTTAAAGATCACTAACAAGTCTATTTCTGTACATCCTGTTGTCATGGCAACACATACATGTACATGCAAGATTTCCAATAAGAGGGAACATCAAATTATGTCTCTCAGATTAAATTTTGTGTTCAAGACGAATTCAATATAGTTTTGGCCAGTAGTACACAAGGTCATAGTGAGAGGAATAAATTATTGCAATATTTTTCAATAGTACAAATAAATAATATTACATGTAAATGTTGTATTACTAAAAATAAAAAAGCTAGGACAGTGATACGGTGAAGATATGCAAGTGTGAAGTATCAAAGAATGTCAAAAATGTCTGTTTTCATGGAAATGCAACTTTTACCATTTTCACAAATCTTTACTCTAAGTTTTTGAATTAATTTTAGATGTGAAAACAAATCTGTTTGTTTGTAAAATGTTTATGCAAATGCCAGTTTCAGGTTATGTATTACCTTCAATATCCAATATGAACACTGCCCGACTCGAAAATTGTTTTGCCATATTTAAGAAAATGTAACAAAATTGCCTCAGGCTTGGAATGAGATTTTACAAATGTACAAGATTAAAAATGAAATATATGTATAAATATAGTTATAACTAAGAAAAAATAAATAAAAAAATCCTTATCCCCTATGTGGATATTTTTAGAAAAGCATGCTATAGGAAGCACAACATTGTATTTAATCGGCTTTATCAAATAAAATAATCATGTTTAATTCGATTTAGATTTCTGATAAGACGCACTAAAAGAATGAAATTAATGGCTCAAGTCATGCTCTGCTGACTTTCACAATTGTCAAATTCTATAAAAGACATCTTTTTTTACATTTTCTTTTACTTTACTTATTATTTTTGATCCAGGTACATGTACAACGTCAAAAGATAAAAAACAAATTAATATGCCTGGACAGACATTTCCTGATGAAGTAGGTGTTATATTCAGGTTTAGTGTAGGTATTATGTTTTCAATTCAAATTGCAATTTGAATAAATTCAATCATGTAATATTCACAACTATAAAATAATTAAAAAAAATTATAAAGTGATTTAATTGAAATATCTGTGTACAGCATTAAAATTTACATATTTTATTATGTTAGATTTTAACAAGAATTGCTGACATACTTTGATGACTTCTCACAGCACATATTGATTACTGAATCAATATTAGTTACACCCACTCATTATTATCAACTAGTGCATTTATCAGAGTACTTTTCATATAATGAGCCCCCAGAAGACCTCTTGTAAGCCATTCAGACAACTTTAGTATTTTAGATGGGGACTGAAGTGAAATTTGTCAAGCTACTTTTCTGCTGTTAAATTTTAAATTATATGTACTAGTATTGTTCAATTGAATAAATTAAAATATTTAATATTTTCAGGAAATAAAGCATTATTTTTATTACATTTTGGTTACATGTTAAACGATTCACAAGCCTTGATAAATTTTACATATTACTATTTTTTTCATTGAATTCTAAATATACATGTATGGATTAATGGAATACAAATCAAAATAAAAAAGAATAAAATAAATATAATTAATATATATATACATATACACATATATATATATATATATATATATATATATATATTCAGGTTTGGTCAAAATAGCATTTTTGTGTTGCCAAGGTTATAGTTTAAATCACACTTGCAGTGCTCATACAGTATATAGTGCTTACCACAATTAACCTGCAAGTTTGTTACCATGACGATGCATACATTTATTGTCAGGATATACTTCTTATATAAGTGCATACCTTTTTGGCTCCAAGTTTAATCGCTTTTTCTCTGGCCGCATCAAAGTCTTCATCAACTTGACCAAGATTGGCCTGAGGTGAAATAAAAAGAACAGTTGTCATAAATATTCTAATAAAAGCAAAGAAAACAGAAATAAATATGAATTTTTCAACAATCTGTTTAACTGAGTAAGGTTTATTCAACATGTTATATGGCACTATATGATGTCATACATTTGTTTGTATGTCACATGATGACATAAGTCACATGATGACATAAGTCTCATGATGTTAGAGATTAGAGTACTTGTGTACTGGTACATTATGATGATGACATCACAGAAGTTTGAAAACATTCTAATCAAATTCAATCAGTCAGTTGCCATAGAGATAATTCCATTTCCTTTAAGAAGGGGGGAAATCTAATTGAATTTGATACAAAAAGTTATAATCTATCCTAATCAGAGTTGTCAGTCACATAATGTAGAGATGTAAACTGCATTCAAATAGAATAAAATGTTTTGCAGTAACTGGATGGTTTATAAGGTAAGAGTTTTTTTAATAGTTATTTTTCTGAATTTGTTCTGATATTTTATAGAAATTTTATAGAGTCTTTCTAATCAAAACACATTGGTAATAGTTTGATAAATGATTAAGATTAATCAACCAATTTAAAAGTTTAAGTTTCCTGGTTAATAACTGGTAATAAATGGGTTGATATATTATTGATAATATTAACCATCCAATGCCTAATAGGTGTAACTGAATTTCTTCAAACTCAGGAAGGACATTTTAAATGACGCAAATATAAATCAGTGCACCAACATGCACAAGGTATACTGTAAAAGCATTTATTTTCCCCTGACATTTAATGTCACCTATTTTGATGTTTAGAGCAATTTCACTGGGTTTTAAGTTAACTTGACAGGGAAACAATGAGTTCTTTTGTTATTATCAAGTTCAAAAGATTTATTCTGCAACTTATCAAGAAAAATAACAAAACAAGACATGCACGGCACAGTCCCTGTTAGTTATCAAATTTAAGATATATAGTTTTGTTTATAGTAATATAGCTGGAATATAACTATGTCAGGAATAAGATTTTTTAACATTAAAATGATTGACATTTGTATCTGATCGTCAAACAAGTACTTGTCCATATTGAGAGATATTGCTCTGGAACAGCATTCAAAATCAGCCATTTTGAATACATGTACATATATATATATATAACATGATGACGAATATATAAAATTTAAATACAACAAGTCAAAGCATTTAAGAGATATGGCTCTAGAAGCCCAATCATTAAAACAAAATGGCCGCCAGACAGCCATTTTGAATCCGATCTGAAAAATAAATGATGTGCATCAGGAACCCGTAATGTCTAATATATGTACCAAGTTTGAACATAATCCATCCATAAATGCCAGAAATGCTTGATATTTGATGATTGTTTAGCACAAAAAAGGCCACCATTTGGCCATTTTGAATAGGATCGTCAAACCAATATATCTGCTAGCTATGACATGATGTATAATGAATATTTAAAATTTGAACATAATCAGTGAAAGCAAGTCGGAGATATGGCACACGAACCACATTGATTAATACAAAATGGCTGCCAGTCGGCCATTTTGAATCTTATCTGAAAAACAAAATTATTTGCATCAATGTCCAATGTATATACCAAATTTGAACAAAATCTATCTGTAAACAGCCGAGAAATTGTTGATTTTTAGGATTTGTTAGCACAAAAATGGCCGCCATTTGGCCATCTTGAATCAGATCGTATGTATAATATCATGTATGATGTATGTGTGAAGTTTGATCGTGATTGGTCCAGGCATTTCTAAGATAGACGCACGCACACACACACACACGCATGCACGAACACACAGAGGTCAAAACATAAGTCCCCGCTTTAGGACTGCGTCCGAAGGGGACTAATTAAAAACCAGCAAATAATTAATCCATTTACAGTATCTATGCAAATGGGCTGATCTATTTATGGAAAACAATAAAACAATTACCATAAATGCTATGACATCATAGCCCTGTTCTTTTAGCCATACCAGTATACACGATGTGTCTAGACCACCACTATAAGCGAGAACCACTGTTTTCTTGTCAGACATCTTATACTGAAAACAACAATATTGAAAACTAAGTTTAATAATGAGTTGTCATTTAAGAAGATTTTTTGACTGATAATTTTATTGTGATAATTAATTTATTTTAAGAATAAGATTGTAGAATCTCTCGCGTTGATGTGAAATTTCTATGACTGGTCAGTTTTAATTCGCCCTCTATAGTGTCACCACATTATTGAGGTGATTAATATGCTAATGAGTAGCATGACTTAAACTGCCAACCAATAAGAAAGGCAGCTTTTGGTCCGATCTGATCCCGCAACTTTAATGCACGCATGGCCTGGCACTTAGAATCTTTTGTGCAATTGTACTCCTACTTTACTTTTTTGGAAGTGTTCCATAACATCATATTTAATTGCAATGAATGTCAAAAAATAGACCAGTCAATGTAATTTTGCTTTAGACCCGGATTTTTAAAAAAGGCTGATAAATTTGCCATGATGGCCAGTTTAAAAGTCCTGGAGTCATAATATAAAGACATACAAACTGATTACAATCTGTAATAAAAAGCAAATGGGGCAAACATGTATGAAAATATTAATTTTTGAATTCACTAGTGGTTTTTATGGTAACACATACATGTGATACACATTTTATTTCATGAGAAACAAATCTTCAAGAATTTTGCAAGTCAGTGGAAATTTTGTAGCAGTGAATATGTTTCTGGAATATTACAACACAGTGTCAGTGATTTACAATTGATATGCAAATTAGTAGTGTTGGTTAGCATGTGGGGTAGTAGTGTGGTTTAGTTCGAAAGTTAGTAGTGTAGTTTGTATGTGTTGGTTACAATAAGATGACCTGTGAATAAATACAATGCTCCCTGGTTTTAACTTGTGTGTTTCTCGTCAGGGTCAGTGCAACTGTTCATTGTAGGCACTGTAATTTATGCAGAATTATGTTCCTCAGTGACCTCTGACCTCTTACCTACAGTCTCTAAATTTAGAAGCCATTATAGTGAAGAATATATGTGCAACAGGATTTATATTTTTTTTTATATGACATCACATTTAGGAATACAGACCTGTGGCTCACTGTTTTAATGTATACTGCTTACTGTGAAAGTGAATGTGAAACATTGTGTGGGCTTGACCTTTTCACTTAAGGGAACTAAAGGGCTGATTCAACTCCACTCCTCTGTACCAATCTAAACGAAAGTTCTGTTATGTGAAATATGCATGTATGTATTACTTAGTATTTATTTATTTATTTTTGTTTTGTTTTATTATGTCTGCAATTTGGAATACTCTAAAATCACATTGTAACTAGCGAAAATGTTTTTAATTTTAAAGCTGCATAGTCCAAATAAAATAAAATAAAAAGTATTTTGTTTTCATTCATAATATAGCTAATATGAGCACAAAATACGAAATAAACTTTCACCTAGTCTCAAATTGAGCAACTTACGTTTCCCTGTGGCAAGTTTTAATGTTCGACGACCCCTTAAAGCTCAATCTGGCTGACACGAATGATTAATGAGCTTACACGGTACGCACATGGGATATGAAATACGACAAGCACAGCAAGTAAAGGCCATATGGAAAATAACACGTGCGTCTCTGTAGCGACTTATCAAAATTCGTCAGCATCGCCGAGGTCATTTGTGTAGTACCGGTAGCATACGAGCGATGATACGAGGGGTCAAATGATGCAATACAATGCTGGAACAAGGGGGCTCCTCGGAAGGTCAACATGTATTAAGAGTAGGCAAGAGATATTAAATGGCACCCTGGGACAGATTTAGCAACAAGTCTCGACCAACATGCGCTATTTGTGCACGCAGCTGACATAGTGGTCTACCTAATAGATTATACAGAGATAGAAAAATGGTTTTAACAATACGATGTCAAGTAAACATTAAACTGTCTGGCTAGAAATTGAAGTCCTAGTGAGTGCGGATGTCAGTCAACTACATTCTTTGTACGGTTACATCATCGACTGCCGTGTTGTATCAGTATGTTGACAATCAGGAATGATACACGATTTGGCTTACCTCGATTAATAACTGCTCAGTGCGTACGACGGTTCTGTAGACTGACAAGACGCCGCGATGTGGACGAACGAATGAATGAAAGACTGCACGCCGAGACGACTATTTATGAATGAGAATAACGTTCCTAACATAATCACTTGAGGGCGCTCACGCCCCTGAGCAAGTTGCTGGTATTGGAACTAATCACCCTGTGGCTCGGCGCTTAGATTGGCTGTATAGGCTTGCACCCGCTTTAAATAAATTCAACTTTCACCCCTTTTTGCCTAAAAGGAGCGTTAAGGGTTATCCCAAATATAGTACACATCAGTGTACGGTAATATAAATGATACGGGTATGTTAATGATGGAGGTAGCAAGAAATAGGAATTAAAAATAAACTAAATAAAACAAACAATTTCATTAAAATACTGATTTGCTTTATACCTCCAGCAAAGTTTCTGAATAAAGCAAAACATAAAATCATGTATATGAAAACTATAACCCCACAGTGAGAGAATCCTGTAATTAAAATTCATTTTCCTATTAAACATCTCTTAATTTTATTTTTATCTTATCATAGTTTAGTTTATTTAGCTGTTGCATTTTTTATGATTTGTATTTTATTTTATTTTATTTTATTTTATTTTATTTTATTTTATTTTATTTACACTACTGCGCCCTCTGATGGCATAGTAGTGTAATAAGGTTATTAATATAATCAGTCAACCAACTCTCGTCATTTTGGGAAAAGGGTGTAAAATTCAAAGCCAAATACTGGAAAAGGCTGGTTGCGAAAGTTGTGAGCTGGGTGTTTTTTTTCGCTGAAAACACTTGTGTTTAGAAGTGGGTATATAAATAAAAAAAAATGGTTTAGAAGTGAGTATGGTTTTCGAGAGGAGAGCTTCACACCCTTACCCACTTAATGTGGAAGTACCCCCCCCCCCCCACCCCGGCATGAAAGACGCTTATAGCGAGAGTACGTTTATACAAATTAAAATATACTACAAAGTTGTTTCCCCGATAGGCAACAGCGTGATATATACTGTAATGCAAAAATTTGCATTGTTATTTAAAAAAAAACTGCCACCATACGTCAGCCAGGCACAGATCCCTAGGCTTCACATGTTTGGTTTCGAAAGATAAAATAGTACCGTGACGAGTTTACACATTTACTTAACTTGGTCGTCCATACACTAGGGTTTCTAGTACTCATACCCTACCATAGTCACTTAGCATCATGACTTTCCAGAGTGAAAACGATCTGAACGTCGCAGGCAAGATCAATTTTAATGAGGTTCTTGTGCGGTGAGCTGGTCTCAGTGGCGGATCTGGGGGGTGTGTGTGGTTCCTTGACCCCCCCGTTGAAAATTTATTCAATTTATTTTTGTATAACATAAAAAAATCATTAACTTAGTCTGGCGATTTTAAAGTTTGACCCTCCCCATAAAAAATCCTGATCC